ACTCCCAGAATTCCCCAGCCAGCATGGCTGGCTGGGAAATTCTGGGAGTTGAAGTCCACACCTCTTAAAGTGGCCAAGTCTGAAAAACACTGCTCTGGAGGAATAGCGTTCCTCTGCCTAGACAACCCCTGGCCCAGCTCCCTTCGCTGCCAGTGCTGAGTTGAGAGAAAGCAGAGAGGTGTCCAGGGCCGAGGACTGGGGACACTCCTCCGGGTGCTGCCCGGGTCCTAAATGAACCCTGCTCTTGTTTCCAGCTCAGACATAATTTCTGCTTATTTTCTGCTTGTTCTCTGGGACAGGAAGGGATGAAAACCCAGGGTGTGGCTCAGCACACAGGCAAATGGAAGAGCGAATGGTCATTCCTGGGGAAGCGAGAGCATCGAGTCCGTTGGAACTGAGCAGCTAATCAATCAATCAAATCAAAGAGCCTGCTGCACTCCTTCTGGCCAAGGGGAAGGAGGAAGGCCACACTAACAGTGCAAGGGTCCTAGCAGAGAGCTTCAGAAGTGGCAGAGGTTCTCGGGCACGGCCTGGGTTAATCCTTGAAGGGGGTCCATTACGAAAGCCTTGGGGTGTGGGCCAGGCCGAGGAGTCAAAAGAAACATCTCCCAAGAAGGCAAGGCCAATCTCTTCCCTACCACTGCAGGAAAACCTCATGGATGTGTCTTTGAAGTCCACCTGGGCTTCCAAGCACCTTTACCAATATCTTTACCAAGAAGAGAAGGCTCAGGAACTCCCTCCTGCTGAACTTTAGCACCAGTTATGGACAGGCTGACTGGCTAGGAAGCTGCTAAGCTTCTCCTCGCTCACGCTTTCTGCAGGAAAGTTGCCCCCCTGCCCGCAAGGATCTGGCTCCAGCTCCAGCAGAAGCCGCCGAGCCCCAGCCAGGACTGAAGAGGCCGCTCTCTCTCCAAGTAGCCCAGCCAGCCTTCTGCCCTCCGCACTTCCAGACCAGAAGCAAGGCTTTCCTGCACAACTCTGCAAGGTGACCAGATTCAAGGAGGGCTTCTGCATCTGCTCAGGCCAACCACGGTTCAGGCAGAGGAGCTTACCTTTCCTCCGCCCGGCTGGTGCTTGATGTTATCCGTGGACCCGATCTTGGACCGGACGTTCTTCAGGTCGGGGACAGAAACGCTGGTGGGGGGCCGTGGAGGCTTGGGAACTGGACTGGTTTTGGGAACTGCCTTGAGAGCCGCCGACGCCTTCTTGGAGTCCACCGTGGTGCTCGCTGTCCCCAAGGGCTTGGGAGTAGCTGGCTTGGCCTTGGGACGGCTGGCAGCAGTTCCAGGCGGGGCGGGAGAAGGGGTGGTGGAAGCCGGGGCACTCTTGGGACGGCTCGGGTCGGCTGCAAGGGAGGAAGAGGAGGAGGCGGTCAGCAGCGAAGGGGACCAGCCTGCCCAGGAAAACCTCTCCGGGGGGGGCTCTGAGGGACCCCTGAGAAGCGCAGCAGAGAGGCTGAGTACCTGTTGGTGATTTTGCAGTGGTCTTCCTGGCATCGGCGGCCTTGACCTCCGTCTTGATGGCTGCACAGCAGAAAGACAGGGGAACGCTCAACCCAAGGCCAGTTGGCATCCCGTAAAACAGCTTCTCCTTGAGCACAATCTCCTATTCCCCTCTTGGGCTTAAGAATCCCACCCCAATGTTTAAATGAGAGAATGCTAAAATTATTCTCATATTGTTCCTGTGGCCTTTTAACTCCGGTTTCCTTCCACCCGTGCCCGCTCCAAAGTTCGGTTGTTTAGTATCCTAGTTGCTCTTAAGCTACATGCATCTTCCTTGCTCTCACGCATCTTTAACCAAGGACATGCCCGCGCCAACACAAACAGTCAGAAAGGGAGATTCAGTGGTGAGTTACTTGATATCTGGTGCCAAGAGCAGCTGAGAGCTCCTTTGTGGAACGGGATGAAGCTCCACCGAGCCCCACATCCGAATGAGGGCCAGCACTGGGGCTTTAAACGCCCTGTAGGTCACAGCTGAACATCTTGACCCACAATAAAGATACAACTCTGGTAGGCTGACCCGTACATTGCCTCCCTTTACTTCTGCTTACTATGACAAATTACTAGAAATTGCCTGTACCATTAATTATTTATTTAAAGTATTTTAAAGTTCTGCAGTTGGGTAGGAAAAAAACCCAAAAGTGTGACCGTAGGATAGATGGGAGGAATGATACATGCAAAAAGGATTTGGGTATCCTGGCGGGTCACAAGCTGAACCTGAGCCAGCCGTGTGATGTAGCTGCCAAAAAGGCAAATACAATCCTAGCCTGCATCAACCAAAGTGCAGGATCAAAACCAAGAGCAGTCACCATTCCTCTCCATTCTGCACTGGTCAAATCACATCTACGATGCTGTATCCAGTTCAGGGTGCATTTTAGGAAGGATATTAGCAAACTAGAGGATATTCAGAGAGCAATGCAGGACACCAGGGGCCTAGAGGGAAAATCTTATGAGAAATGGTTAGAGATTTGGGATGCGTTTAGCTTGGAGAAGACTGTGGGGAGACCTGAGAGTAGTCTTCAGGTAGCTGAAGGGCTGTTGTGTAGAAGACGGGATAGAATTGTTCATTGTTCAGGAAGACAGGACAGGACAGGGAGCAGTGGGCTTAAATTACAAGGAAGTTGATTTCGGAGGGCCATCAGGAAGAACCTCCTAACAGTAAGAGCTGTTCAACCAAGGAACAGACTGCCTTGGGAGCTGGTGGTCTCTCCTCACTGGAGATGAGGCTGGATGGCCACCTGAGGGTGGCCACAGCTATGGATTCTGCACTGGGTATAGGGTTCCCCAACTTCCCCTTCCTTCTATAATTAAGGAATAAAGCATGCCAGAATGCAAAGGCCATTCTTTTGCAAACCTGTCATGCAATGAACATTTGGGGTTAATGATCCTTAACATCACCTCCATCCATTCCTGAGTAGTTGGAAATCTTTGGGAACTGGAGACTAACACAATGTTCCACACAGCTTGTTCAACTTCATATGCTCAACTGAGTGTAGATATTGCCCTATCCGCCATTTCATAAATATACTTTGTACATGCAGTTGATGTAACATATATATCCCAGGTCAAAAATGGAAGCCCCCTCCCCAGAACTTTCCAGGCACCAGGAATGACTTACTGGAGGGCTTCTTCGGGGGGGAAGCAGCTGTGCTCCTCGGACTGGGGGAAGTCCCACTCGTGGCCAGCACCGAAGGCCTGGGAGTGGCCGGACTGGTCTTCACGCTTGGCCGAGGCGTTGCAGCAGATGGGGGTTTGGAAGGAGAGACGCGCTTCTCCGGGCTCTTAACATCTGGCCCCTAGTAAGGAGAAGGAGTCATGTCAAAGCGAGGGTCTCCACCTTCTCTTCTCCAGGTTGAGGCGCTGGGATCAGAGAGCGTGTTCAACAAATGGAAGTAGCTTTCTCTAGGACACGCGCATGTAGCATTTCTCCAGTCATGCCTCAGGATGGGGATTATCAAGGCTCACGGCCCCCAAGTTCCCTCTAGCTTTGCTTGCATCTGGACATCTGCATGTGTGGCAAAAGCTTAGAAGAGGTGATCGGCAGCTCACAGTTATCATACAAGGGTAGGAAAGAGGGTCTCTGCAAGGCTGCCAATACTTATTGTTCTTATTTATTCAGAGGAGCACAGAAACAACATGTACAATGTGCATGGCTCATTTTCAGATCTAAAAGCTCTCCTTCCCCACCCCTGTGTGCCTTCCCAACTTGGAGTCAGGCTGCTTGTGAGTTCCAGAAGAATGAAGACCAGACACCCACCTCCTCCTTCACAAAGGACCACCATTCCCATCCACTTGGACAACTCCCAACTAGGGCAAGCCACTCCCATTGGGGTCCTCTTCTCATTCCTGGTGTTTTTCTGCCAGAGTTGCCCCACCTCCGCCTGTTCCCATGAGAACATCCCTCCTGAGCGCCTGAGAGGCCCCATTCTGGTGTTTCTCCAGATGCTGCTGTGGCTGAAACCTTCCCCTCGCCAACTGATCTTCTCTTCTGTGGCCTGAGGGGTTCTCATGCCCTCCATCTTTCATTCATCTTCATACATTCCTTCACACAAATCCATGGCACAAGGGGTATGTGCATGCATGTATGTGTGCATCGCACATAAAAACAGGTAGGGCTTTGATTGCACCACCATAGCCACCAACTTGAGTTTTTTTAACCATACCCTGTGGACACTCCTATGCACTCCGTATATGTGTGTATGTATATATGTGTGTGTATGTACGTTTGTGTGCGTGCACACATATATATGTGTGTTCACACATGCAGACACACACATGAATCAAGCAATTACAAATTCACATATATGGACGATTACAGCAGTGACACTGCTAACCGTTAAACTGCATCGTTTAGATATCCTATGAAAAGGAAGTATTCCCGTGCTACAATCGGGCACTACTTTCCTTAAGACTGATCAAGACTTCCCACAGGAGGGAGCTTTGAATTCTCTGTTGTTAACTGGGTTAGGCCCTTAGCAAGTCAGAGGACTGGTGGTGGGAACGCTGGCGTTTGGCTAAAACTCCAGGGTTGGCCTGAACACCAAGCACAGGCAACGAGAGAAATGGATCTCAACCTCTACTAGACGCTACGCAGATTTCAAGTTGGCGCCCAGAATGGCTGGGATGAAAATGCAAAGAGCAGTCTCAGTTTTCAATTTTTTTTTTTTATGTCCAGAATGTCCTGGATCTGTTTCCAGCAGCAAGCAAAACGGATTCCGCCCAGGGACTTTTCGGGAAGAGACTGCCAAGGGGAAAGTCGGCTAGCGATCGGTGTCATTTAAAATTAAAAGTTATCCGGCAGTCAACCTCAATGTCATCGCTGGGAGGTGGAAATGGCGACTAAATGCCAGGGTGATGGGAAGGAAGCTTTCAGCCTCTCAGGCCCAACCAGTGAGGAGAGACAGCAAAATCTGAATACGTAAGACAGGTAATCATGTTTCGTAAACAGTGACTGTAATCTGGAGCATGGTGTTGACTGTGCAGTCTTGGTATTGTTTAACTCCATGTTTCTCAACCTTGGCGACTTGAAGACCTGTGGACTTCAACTCCCATGCTGGCTGGGGAATTCTGGGAGTTGAAGTCCACTCATCTTAAAGTGGCCAAGTTTGGACAACACTGGTCTAAGAAGACCCACACTCCGTTCTTCAGAGGACCAAAGGCTCAAGAAGAGAGCCCTGCATTCCCCAGGCAAGAAGGCAACGCAGTGTCCCGTTCGACATAAAAGAAAACATGGCCTTTTTCATTTCTGAGCTCCCTGAAGCTTTTATGTTTGGCCTTCTCTCCCAGCTAGGAGCATCTGCGCTCTTTCCAGTATAATCTCCTGAGAGAAAGCAATTTAATCGCCGGCAGAAAAGAGAGAGTCGTTCTGCAGGCTTACGTGGTGGTGCCGCATTTGTCTGAAACCATCTGGGCTGCCAGCTCCCCCAGAAGACTCTGTCCCAGGAAGATCATGGTGGGGGAGGAGGGAAGGGGACTGGACCCTCCTCCAGCGGAAGGTTTCCTTTCCATTTTACCATCATTAAAATCTGGCTTTGATCATGGAGCAACGATTAACACTGGCATATTTTGAGATTAAAGAGCCCTTTGGGGCAACAATCCTTTCATGCTCCCTGCTTCTGTGGGATCTCTCTCTCTCTCTCTCTCACACACACACACACACACAGCCAGAAAAAGAGTCAAATAAGCCAAGGCTGCAAATGAGGGCAACAAAGAGACCCACCAAGATTATTTGCCCAGATGCAACATCCTATCCTTCCTCGGGGCAAGGAGCAGGACCCCCAAATCCAAAGTTGGCTCATGTTTAATTTGCGTTTAAATGTCATTAGAACTGGGCCTCTCCCCTGCTTCATCCAACTATACTGATGTCAGTTTGAGCCATTCCTTTTTCCTCCCCACCTGTCCTGGCTTTTCCTCCTACAGCCACTGCTGCCATCCGAACCCCCCTTGATCCAGGGCATCCACAGGAAGAGTAAAAAAATTAAAGATGGCAGTTGTGCCCACCCAGCTGAAGCTGTGTCTCTTTTTTACATGCACTGCTCACATTAAAAAAGGATCAAGGATTCAATCACATGGGCACCACGGCCACCCGCCTGACTTTTTTGACAGCCTCCTCCTTCCAGCTTTTTCAATGATGCCTATGGATCCGACCTCTGAAACCTCAGCCCACCTGAATATCTTTCTTCTCCGTTCCCTGAACCTGTTTCTGTATTCAGCATGGTTTTTAGCCACAAGGTGTCCCAAAATTCTGTAGCATGTGGCATCAAGAGGAAATATTTTTTTCTTGGAACCTGCAGCTCCAAGTAAAATAAACCTCATTTCCGTTCCTCTGAGAAGTCTGCAAGTTCTGAACAGAATCTGCAAGGCTGTGTTGAGCAGAAAACAGGCAGATTCTCCTGTGCACAAACCGGGTACACGAGGAAAGCCGAACAGCGGAGGCATCTGGGAGGGCACTCTGACTTCCTGACTGTAGTGCTTGGAATGAGTACCCAAATTCATGATCCTTTGCTCTCCACCTCCCCAAAAACTGGCCCCATGCTTGTTTCTAGAAAGCTGGAAGTGAAAGGCCAGAGGAATAGCAATGACACTGGGGAAGGGAAGATGCCCAGCGTCCACCAGATGCGTTACAAAGGAGAACCCAACTCCCTGCACACATCCCCACAAGCAACTCTCTGCAATTCCCAGCTGGCGTGCAAGGTTTCTTACCTTTGGTTTAACTTCTCTGGGAGTTAAGCTGGAGGGTCGTGAGACGCTGGTCGCTGGGCGTTTAGGAGTGGCGGCTGCGGAGGGCCCCGTGGCTGGCACGGTGGCCTTTTTGCTTTGGCCCGGCGTAGCAGGAGCTGGCCGCTTGGCAGGGGGAGCACCAGCGGGCCCGGGCCTGGCTTTCGCAGTAGCGGGCTTTGCCGCAGGAGCGGTGGCCGAAGGCTTGACGTTAAAACATGCCCACAAGCAAAACGGAAAACAACGACGCAACACACGGACACGGAACAAAACAGAAAGGGAGGGCATTGAAAACAAAATGCTGAGCAGCAAAAACTGGAGCAAAGAAAGTCAATTCAGAAGAAAACCAACGATGCCAGGATTCTGTTCTCTGAGGGCAAGGGGAAAAATGGCCAAAGCGAGAAGGCTAGAATTTGCCAAAGCACAATCAGGCCCAATTTAGGGAACAAGAGACCCATCAGCCATTTGGGGAACAGAGGTGGAAAAAGACCAGGAGCGAAGGGAAGGAGGAATCAAACCTCCACAATTCGCTCTCCCAAAGGTAATCTCAAGGATCCCAATCAGATCCAGAAGCGAAACGCTCACTTTCCTGAATGCTGCGGTTTGTAGCAATCTGAACAAAATAATTCAGGTGGAAGGGAAGGGAAGCGAGAAATCTGGGACCTTTTAGGTTCAAAGCAAATGACACCAGCACCACATTGTGATCCTTTCCCGTAAGAATTACTCTGACCTTAACAGTACAATTTAGAAGAAACAAGGGGAAGGGAGGGGGGCAGGAAAGCAGACGCTTCAGATTTTGTATGGGATCGCTGCTGGAAAGTTTCACTTTCTCTATGAACTGCGACGGGGCCCCTCGTGGGTCACCGGCGTTGAGCAAAGGGCAAGTCCTGATAAAGAACATAACCGGAGGCCGGCTTCTCTTTCAACAGAAGCCCAGCGCTCCTCATTCCAAGCCTTTAGAGTCCTCAGCCCAAGGCAGAGCTAGAAACCAGCATGGTTGGAGTGGATGAAAGAGGTTTAAGGTGGCCCTGAACTATGGATTGATTTGATTTATATGGCCTCCCACCTCACAGCTGTGACTCTACAGCAGTGTTTCTCTAACTGTGCAACTTGAAGATGGGTGGACTTCAACCCCCAGAATCCCCCAGCCAGCAAGGCTGGCTGGGGAA